CGCCAATGAAAGAAAACTGAAGAAGTCATGTATCAATTATAGGAACAGGAAGAGAAAGAAAAGATAAGAACGAAAAGAAGACAAGAGGAAGCGAACAGAACAGTTTCGAAGAACACAAGAATGGTTTCTTCCACTTCTGCGCTACCGAAATATCCCGTTCCATAGCGAGCTAATTGTCCAAGACATCGGAACTTCAAGAAAGAATCTTCGACCACTCCCCGTACCATGTTTTTTAGGAATCCATATTGACCGATCGATCAGTCACGATCACAGATCTCTTAACCCATTAATGTCGTAGCAACAGTGTTGCGTGCTTAGGACAAGAGGGTCTGACGAAGCCGATCCCTCTTCAAGCTGGTTCTGAATTCAGAGCTACCTACGAAGGCTAAAGAGTTCAATCCACTCTGCTATGTAATTAGAGAAATATTTTTCACAACTTTATTTTTACTTCAGAGCGCACTTGAAATATAACTAAAGCTTTAAGGTGTATTTTAAATTTTAACAGGGAAAAATTAGTGATGAAATTTAAAACAGGAAAATAATAAAGAAGTCTCCTGAAATAAGCATTTATTTTTAAGACATTACATTCTATATTTAAGTGGTACAATTTTCATTTAAAGGAATTTAGGAAGAATCTGCTATATTTCTTTTTGAGGAGCCAATAATGACTGATTTAAATCCCTTAAGGAAAGCAAAAGGAAAAGGATTATCCACTTTTTCTTAAAGTTTAAGGTAATTTAGCATCCACTTTAAAATATCAAATGACAGAAAAGACATATGTTTGGTGTGTATAGCTTTTCAACAATAAAGCTTTTTTTAAATATAAAAATAATTCATAAATTACACTTCCGCTGACATGGGGCGGACCTGGCTACCTTTCAGGGATCATTAGTGGGCCCTGGAGCACCGGTTGAGAAACGTTGCCTTAAATGAATAAAACATGTTCGATGAAGATATCTGGCATTCGATCGTCGCAATTGCACGCGGTAAAGTGAAAGCTTGGAATCTCCGGGACCTACCATTGGACTCGGGATCGGTGGACTCTTCTGAATAAATATTGGATAGGACACTTTTAAAAACATGTCGGCTTTTATGCCAAATAAAGTGTACCATTTTTTAAAAATTTTATTTCAATCTGATTTCTGTTCTTTGATATGTTTTTCCTTACAGAAAAAATAACTTGCATGTAAATCTTGCAAATATTCTATTATTCGAACAAGGTTCTTCATCATTGTTGCATTTATCATTGCTGTATTTGAAACTGAAAAAGTGTAGCACCTTAAAACTACTGTTAATAATTGGAGCACTGGATAATCAAAATATTATTGGAGTACTGGGTACGATTCAAAAAATAATTGGAGCACTGGATACAATCAAAAGTAACTGGAGCACTGGGTACGATTAAAAATAATTGGAGCACTGAGTACGATAAAAGATATTTGGAGCACTGGATACGATCAAAAATAATTGGAGCACTGGGTATGACTAAAAATAATTGGAGTACTGGGTACGATCAAAAATAATTGGAGCACTGGGTACGATCAAAAATAATTGGAGCACTGGGTACGTTAAAAAATAAACAGTGTTGAGCGGTCTCTGACTGCGCACACCTTTTCTGTCGAACTCTGCATTAGAGAGGAACCTGACGAGGCTTTGCCGAAGGGCAAGGTTTCGTCCGGGAGGTAGATAGGCCTGAACCCGTCTAATCGGCTTCAAAAGGCTATTTTTTTGGCCGAGCCTACGGGCTCGGAGAAACCCACAATAAAACCGGCCTTGTGCCATATTCGTTTCCCGTGGGTGAAATGATAAATACCGTACGTTAAAAAATAATTGGAGCTTTGGCTACGATGAAAAATAACTGGAGCAGTGGGTACGATCAAAAAATAATTGGGGCACTGGATACGATAAAGAAAAGCAAAGACAAGAACATTGAATTTATCACTGGCAGACCAAGTTAACAAGAAATTTTTAAAAATTGCACAGTGATAAAATGTTCATCTATTCAAGAAAGTATTATCAACGTAAAGAATATATAAAGAGTGTAGTTGTTAAGTATCACTTAACATCAGAATTGTTGTAAACCAACGCATTTCCACGACCCAGGCCTCTGGTAATGACCCCATGAAGGGATTGTACTGAACAAAATATTGTTTGTTTTTCTTGAAACCTCAAAAGGAAAAAAAATTAATCAAAATCATCTTCCCGCTTGGACTAGTATCCTCATCTTGCTTGTTAGATGAGGATATTAGTTCAAATGGAAGAATAGCTCACAACTTTCAAAGTGCTTTATATATGTATGATTTTTTCTTTCAAAACTGCTTAGTGGATAATGTTATGATGTCATTTCTGGCGTTCGGTCTCTGGTCGGGACCCCGAAAGAAATGATGGTACACCAGAAATCAAAGGAATAATAATAATAATAATAATAATAATAATAATATGAACCCACCCAAGACCCGGTTACGGACATAGGACCTGTAACAATTTTATGGGACTTCATAATGCACACAGACAAAACAATCAATACTCGGACATTGTGATTAGAGATCGCAAAAAGAAAATGTACTTGCTTATTGATATGGCAGTTCCTGCAGACGGCAATGTGTCTTTGAAGATCTTCGAAAAGCTATCAAAATACAAGGACCTTGAAATCGAAATCTCAAAAATCGAGCACATGAGAACATCAACAATTCCAGTTGTAGCTGGAGCACTCGGATTGATTGGAAAAGATCCCAATAGACTCATTGAAGGGATTCCTGGAAGCCCATGACTTAAAGAAATTCAAAAAATTGTTCTCTTGAGTACAGCCCACACCTTACGAAGGGATTTATGTATGTAATTCTATTTTTTAAACGGATAAATAAGATTTATTTCTATTAAATCGATTTCTTCTGTTTTCCATGCATATTCAGTATCCAGTTTGTATGTGTACGAATATTTATTTCCCCCACTGCATGTGTGATTTTTTTTTAAATTGCTCAGTGAAAAATGTCATGATGCCATTTCTGACCTAAGGTCTCTGGTCGGGACCCGAAAAGAAATGAGTACACACCAGAAATCAAAAGAAATATGATGATGATGATGATAATAATAATAATAATAATAATAATAATAATAATAATAATAACATTGGCTGTCCCTGTGGTGCAATACAGCTTTAATGTCCTTAACTGGACCATAGCTGAAATTAAGCGAATGGACGCCAAAACGAGAAATCTTCTCACTTGCTATCGCATGCATCATCCCAAAGCTGATGTTGATCGTCTGTATGTGCCCAGATCCGAAGGAGGCAGAGGATTAGTTCAACTAGAACTGTCCTATAAAGCTACAACAATTGGCCTCCAAAGATATTTGGAAACTACAGAAAACTGGATGATGGTATGCGTCAAGGAACATGAAAGTAGTAAGCGTCTTTACTCCGTAATGAAAGAAGCCAACAAATTCAAAATGGAGATTCAAATGGGCGTAGAGATGCAACTACAGCACAATACACCGGCTGAAACTTCAAAATACCTAAAAAAGACAGCAAAGACGAATGCAACCGACCAGATACAGAAGCGATGGCAAGATAAACCGCTCCATGCCTCAAGGAGATACAAAAAATTGTTCTGACAAGTACAGCCCACACTTTACGAAGGGCTTTATCTATGTAATTTTTTTTTTTTTGTCAGTGGAAAGTGTCATGATGCCATTTCTAACCTTAGAATCCCTAGGCGGGACCGGAAAGAAATGTGTAAACGCCAGAAATCAAAGAAAATAATAATAATAATAATAATAATAATAATAATTCCTTATACAAGAAATTCAAATATAAGCCATTAGCTGAATTTTAATCTGAAATCTTCATGATATAATGAATAATCACCACAAAATTAAGTGCATTGACAAGAAAATAGTTGAAACAAATAAATACTTGTTGGGAATATAAATGCTTTGAACCCTAGGTACTATCACAAAGTGGTACAGACATGAAAATTAAATCGATTTCTGGTCGCCAGTTTATAAGAATTTTGAAAAAAAAAATCCATCGGTACTGAGTGGAACTGTTCCTCTATTCAGGAAAGTATTCGCAACGTAAAGAAAATATAAATACTGTAGATGTTAAGTAGCACTTAACATCAGAATTTGTGTAAACAGAATGCAGATATTTACAACCTCGCCTTAATCTAGGTCTTGGGTTCTGTACTAAGCAGAAACGCAAAGTGGCTCTCCACGATTTTCTGTCATTTTTTAGCTCTTAGCAAATTTTGTCATTTTTATATCTCTCCTAATCCCTGTTCTGCCAACCATTTACACAAGATCATTAGGTAGATTATGTGCTGTTTCCATCTGTCCCTATTGCCCCGTGAGTGTCGGATTTTCTAAGCTCTCTTTCCTCATTATCTGCCCTTAAAATTTCAACTGTCTTTCTGATGTTAAATGTCAGTGTACATTTCGTTTACCTTTTCTCTAAATACTTCGTCGGTGTTCACATGTTCAGTCTACGGCATTCTCAGCATCCTATATTTCGGCCGTGAATACCGTATGGTTAGACAAGGCACAAATCATCTTTTTTTTTCATGAGGAGAAATGACTTCAAGGTCTGGATAATAATTGATCGATTTGTTTTTTAAGGCTTATCAACATTTTGCAGGTTTTTAGGGTCAGAAAATATCTTTTTTAGATTATAAGAATATTTGGTAGATTAAAATGGTATACAGATACAAGTCCTACTAATTAACCCATAGCTGGGGGAAGAGAAGCAGTAGATTGATACCTTTTCCAAAGTATTTGCGCGTAAGTGAATAAAACGAATCCGGCTGGAATGACAACTCGGCTCTCCGACTTTCAATTCCAAGCCGTCATCCATTAAACCACCCACGTTTATAATAACTAATATTCCCAAACAATCACCTATCTACTGGGCAGTCTCGATTTTGCTCAAATTCGCTGATCGTACGAGACCTGGTATTTCAACGGGAAATGGCCGGAAACATATTACACGAAAATCATATCCAAAGCTTACAACATCTTGTATTCCCAAACGGCTACCCATGTAGGTACTGACCAGGATCGACGTTGCTTAACCTCGGTGATCGTACGGGAACCATTGTTTTAACGTGATATTGCCGTAAGCACATTACACGATGAACACAACCTAAAGTTACAACACCTGATATTTCCAAGCGGCTACCCATTTAGGTACTGACTAGGATCGACGTTGCTTAACCTCGGTGATCGTACGGGAACCATTGTTTTAACGTGATATTGCCGTAAGCACATTACACGATGAACACAACCTAAAGTTACAACACCTGATATTTCCAAGCGGCTACCCATTTAGGTACTGACTAGGATCGACGTTGCTTAACCTCGGTGATCGTACGGGAACGGTTGTTTCAACGTGATATTGCCGTAAGTAATGACACGATGAACACAACCTAAGCTTACAATACCTGGTATTTCCAAGAGGCCACCCATCTAGTTAGTGAGCAGGATCGACGTTGCTTAACCTCGGTAATCGTACGGGAACCGTTGTGTCAACGTTATATGGCCTTAAACCCGAAGATCTGGAGGCGAATAATGTAAACGTACACCGACGACCTCTTTTAATTTTTAACAGACTGGATAAACGCATTGTTAGGTTTCCATTCATGCCTGTGGAAAAATTGACTGAAATATTTATGGATGCACTGAAGGACCTTTATCGACTTTGTTGTCGCCTGAACCCAGTCCAGTATTTTCGGCGTTGATTTATATCAAGAATGAACCATGGGGAATAAACACAACAAAAATATTTCAGCTCCATCTCTTCACTACTCTGACAAGCCATGCCACTTCCACTGTGTCAAATCCGCCTCATTTCCTCCGTATTCTAAAAGTAAGCCATCTCTTTCCCTAAGAATTGCTACTCCCATGTGAATGCTTCCCTGAACATTGCAATCACAATCTCTTCAAGTGACGGGTCAATCGTTATCTACCCTCTTTATCGGTATAATCCTCACTTTTTTTTCAACCTTCTTTTTCACTCACATCGCACCTCATTCATGTTGACCTTCCTACCACACATGGACTGATGGTCCCGTTATATATCTAGATTTACTTGATAAAATCCAAATAAGAATCCGCATTGTTATTGGTCGTGACCTGGCATCTCGGCTTCAGTTACTTTCACATCGCTGTAATGTTTTCCATCTGCCTTTTCTATGAATACTTGTGTTGTAACATAGAAAAGGTTATTGAATGAGGAATAATCAAAATGGAGGTTGGAAATGAAATGGTAATCTTTATAACATCAACAAAATACAATACTCGCCAGCGGCGTGAAGTAGGTAAACCACTGCTAATGGTGGACTACTTAGACACCATATTACCCCCACTTACAATAGTGTCCAACATATTGATGAGGATTGGGACATACACATTGGTGTTCATAGCTACGGTATATAACAACTTGCATGATAATTGTTTGGATGAGCTGTTCGCTTTGGTACTTAGACTTTATGAATTTAAGCACAGTACTAGATTGGCAGTTAGGTCTCATCATTTTACTGATGAATTGAATGTAAACGTAATTTCTATGTTAACAATTTATTCTATCTTACTTCTCGCTTGTGGAACTCTTTTCCGGCTTCTTTTCAGACAACTTTGATCTCCAAAAATTTAAAGGCAATGTCAATCGTTATTTTCTTAATTCTTGTTCATTTAATGTTCTCTCTCTCTCTCTCTCTCTCTCTCTCTCTCTCTCAACAGTTTTTTTGTTTCGTCATATTCTCTAACACTCAGTCACCCCTTGTGACTTAGTGGCTATATTGCTTTGTTGAGGTTGAAATGATTTTAAAAAATAACCATTTTAAAAGCAACCTATCTTGAGTGACTCTTCGGTCTGGTCGTGGGTGAATTTTAGTATAAAATCTAATGTAAGCGTCGATTTTTCTAATACTTGCTGGAATATAAAACCGCTGTAGACTTCAATTTATTTTGTTGCCACTTGACACCAATCCACTTTTGGGATTGTCGATTTACGCCGAGAATAAATAGAGAATTTAATAAACAAAGAAGCCCCCCCCACAAAAAAAAATAAATGAGCTTCATTCTTCAGTGCCACCAGTTCAGACCTTCACTGCCAAGATACGCAGCGCCACTTCCACGAAGTCGATTCACCCACTTTTCTCCTATATTTCAACAAACCCTTACATGAATACCTCCCCGAGATCTTCACTTAATTCCTTCAAGTGGAGGTTCAATCGTTATCTATTCTTATACACTTTACTCTCTACTTTTGTTTGGTTTGTTTTTTTTTACGGTTTATCAACCGTTTGCAGCTTATTTAAAGCCAGAAAATAGATTTTAGCCTGTAAGAATGTTCTTTTTTGGGAGATAATAAAGATTGTACTGAGACAAGTTGTACTAGCTAACCTATAGCTGGAGGAGTGAAGAGGCTCATTCATAGATTTTATATTTGTCCGTAGTTGACTATAAGGCACCCAACTAGAAATTAGAAAATTAGAACTCGGCTCTTCGATTAACAAGTACATCCACGCTGACAGCCTTATATTCCCAAACGACCAGGCTCAACGTTGCTTAATTTCGGTGATCGTACGAGAACCAATGTTACAACGCGATATGGCCGTAAGACTTTAAGTACTACTACAGATTTCCCTCATATGAAGTACATCAAAACCATTTTAACCCTTTATTTTGAGTGACTTTTAAGATTGACACTTATAGTCTAAAAATGATGGAAGGATCGATTATTCTAAAACTAGATGGAATATTTATAAGTGCGCAATAGACCTGGGTTTGATTTTGTTGTCACTTGTTCCCATCCAGTATTTTTTGTTGTCGATTTCTGATGAGAATAAATAATAAAAAAGGCATGTAAGATGATCGTTCAATTTAGGACACGGTGTGTATCCACGTAGAATGCACACCGCTTATTGATCCAATAAATAATAAGGCATATTGATTCGATTTGGATCCCTCTCTCTTCTTTATCTATCTATCTATCTATCTATCTATCTATCTATCTATCTATCTATCTATCTATCTTCCCTTTTCTCTCTTCATGTTTCCCTTTTCCTTGATGGCAAATATCAATTCACGTTCACTGAGATATGCTAATGAAATTCGAAAGGTCGATGATGCCTTACGCATGCGCGTCTCTTTGGATGCGCAAACACCTTGCAAAATATTCGACCTTTCATAACTACTCGATCACACACACACACACACACACACACACACACACGCACACGCACACGCACAAATACATACATACATAAAGGTGTGCTGAAAAGTTCCCGGCCCGACCTACTTTCAAAAAGTATAATCAAATACGAAGCACATAGATGCATTTTAATCTGAAAGTTTCATTCTATAATGTTTAATCGTTGCGATAAACATTCCTCACTGAATTAAGTGCATTAACAAAGAAATGTTGAAATATCCATTATTTGTTGTGTAAAAGAACTGTTTTTCATAAAAAAGCAAAGGAATTATAGATGTATCAATATATATATATATATATATATATATATATATATATATATATATATATATATATATATTTCGCATGATCTCAAACTAAAGGCAAGGATAAAGTTCCTAATTATTACAGGAGAGACCAATAACAGCTACTGAACTTTGACGTCTATTTGGCCAAGTAGACAGTGGTGCTTTCGGTTTAAATTTATAAAGTTTTTCAAGAAAATGGATTTCTCAAGTCCAGTAGATATTATTGTTCTTTCTACTATTAATGAGTACTTCATTCCTTGCCTTTTGTTTGGTCGGGGTAATGTCGAATGTTTGCATCTTCAAATGTCAAACTATTGCTGTCAGAGTGAATTCCTCTAAAACCTATTCTTTAATATATATATATATATATATATATATATATATATATATAGAGAGAGAGAGAGAGAGAGAGAGACTTATTCAAAAAGAACTAACTGATTTCATGACGCATTGCTTCAGTTCTCAAGCATCCTCATGAAATGAGTCAGTGACCATTTGAAATAAGGGTTTTCTAAGTTTTGAATGACTGCCACAGGGGCGTTGTAGTCGCGTCGTATCTCCAGCAACTTTAAGCTGTTTCTTTACCAGCAAAATGGCGATTCTTCAGCAAAAGGCGTTCTGCGTTCTCGATTTCGCGAAAACAGATACGTTTGTCACGGTGAAGCGTGCTTTTCGAAAGCAATTCGACATTAATCCGCCCTCTTCTAAGAACATTCGACAGTGGTTTAAACAGTTTCATTTGAGTGAGTATCTGTGAAAAGAAAAATATCCAGGACGACCACAAGTTTCGGAGAAACAAGTGGCGCGAAGGCGTGCTGCGGAAGTCCACAAATCGAGCTAGCCGTGAGGCTGCGATGTCTCAATCCACTCTGGCGTGTGCGAAGAGGACGTCTATATATGAAAGCTTAAAAATTATGCCTCGTTCAGGCATTTGCCAAGACTTTGTTCTTTGTGCTAAGCCTGCGAGATCCCCAGACTTCACCATGTGGGATTTTTTTTTCTTGTGGGGATACGTAAAAAATCGTGCTTATGTTGCACCGCTACCCACTAACCTCGATGACCTTAAACATCGAATAACAACAGCGATCAACTCAGTGGATCGTGATATGCTGATACATGTCTGAGAGGAATTCTCTTATTGATGTTGCCCGTAATGCAGGTGGTGGCCACATTGAACGCGTTTAAGACAAGAAATAAAAGTTGATCGTGAGTAGAATGCTTGTGATTTGTCTGGAGTTTTCTATTGATTTTCCTTATTAAAATATTGCGTTCATTCGTTACGAATAACCTTGTATATATATGATATGACATAACGATATATATTTTATATATCAAGAAACAGTATTGAGGAAATTGTAAGAAAAATGGAAAAAGTTTATTTGTGACGCGTTTCATCCGTTCGGACTTCATCGGACTGGGTTGTTGTGACTACACATGCCCATGAACGAGAGATGCTGGTAGTTTCAAAATTTTTTGAAAAAATTTTTTGAATGACGTTTTTTGAAATCTAGCCAAATTCATATATATTCATTTTCTTTCTATCATCTTTGTTTTTAAATATACCACATTGTGATAACAGAAAATCTAGCAAGACTTGCGAAACGTTGTAGGAGCCTGG